ATATTTTCTAAACATGAAGTTTTGGCTTTACAAAGAAACTAGAAATGGTGGGGAGATAAACACATTTACGGCTGCGTACCATTGCAATGTTAATTCACCGAAGAGCAAGTTAATCACTACATGCTCGTCATTTTCACCAACTTGGTTGCTCATGGACATCCGATATGAGATTGGTAATTCGGAGGTAATTCACATTTTGAGGCAGTTAAAAGTATCCCAATGCAGTTCCCTCTTCACAGTCGTGTGAACTGGAATTCACCTTGTTCTGCATTATACGCGTAGAATTTTGCAAATGCAAGACGCCATGATTCCATTGCCAAACGATATAAAAGTGTTGCACGACCGCACAGAAGCACACTAGTAATTGACAATGTTTCAACGCATTACCGGAACTTTTGTAGGGACAGACCCACTTGTCACGGGTAGCGCTGTGTTATTAACTTCAACTTCGATCCGTACAGCTACAATTTGGATTGTGGCGTGATTGATCGATTGACTTGCACTTTTTAGTCTAGTGAATCAACAATCGACCCGAAAAGAGGTTAATCCGGTCTGATGAAAACACGCAATTTCGTATCGACAAACCACTTTTAGATGCACTGATGGCCCTCATACTCAGTTCGTCCGATTTATCTATAGAAGTGTGTGGCATTGTTTCAAGTATCACCTACTTAGAATGAAACATGATTCGGTGACAAGCAACTCTGATCGACTGCGACGTGACTCGCGAACAAGTGCCAGTGACCCGGGATTTGGACTAGTTCGTTGCATGACTGCAGTCAAACGTATTTTGTTTTTCCATGAGCAGAAAAACTATTCATGTTAGTTTTGAAACTGTGACAAATTCTGCCTTAAAAATATGCGATTGCGATAACAATAAGCAATGAGCTGACTTTGAGACCCTTATCAAGAGCGAACTTATGTGAACTAAACGAACCCGATTAGCAATTGAGTTATACGAGAACGAAGTCATTTTGCATTAATTGTCTGGTAACATCTGTAATTGGTAATTGGTGACTTATTTTTACGTATTGATACGTAAGTTTAAAATAGATAAATAACTAAAGAATGAAGTGGGTACATTAAATATATTTTTTAAAGTGACGAACTTTTACCCCTAATTCTAAACATATTCACCACTTTTGAGCAACAAAAACATCACTTGGAACAAACGTTAGATATTGACTGCCGAGAAAATTGTCAAAAAACCTACCGCAGTCGTAAGTGGGAATACAATTTAGAACGTGATAAGACATTTCAGTCTCGCACGACACGTGAGCCGCAGACAACCACTCACCGATCAAGAGCACGACTCGTCGGCATACTGCGTGCGCATCCGCGCAATCCAGTTTGCTGGAAATATTTGATTGATGCAGCGTTATCTGCGATCACTGCTAGTGAGTCACAGGGGGAGATAAAGAATCCGCGTTGCCCGATCAACATGTTCCGGTCACCGTCTCCGTCGAATGCGGCCGCAAACGACACGGTCGGATCGTTTACTACAGCCTGAACCAAATCTGCCGCATAGGTCAAATTTGGATCCGGATGTCCCTTGCCAAAATCGACCAGTGGTTCAGCTTTCAGAGCACAATTGGCCGGCATGCCCAACTGTTTGCAGAATATTTCCTTTATGTAGGGGCCCGTAACTAAAAAAGCATGCAGTGAAACAATGAGAAAATAACAGATATGGTTTTCTGTCGGAGGTGTAGCAAGTTGTGAACTCGGCTGTTACGCAGAGCTGGTTCGATTATAATCAAGTCCAGTTGATGTTCATTAGAGAAATAGGAATAACACTACAGTCGTGATTGGAAGTCAAAACGAACCGGGTTCTCACGTTTCCCAGGTATCCGCTCGTAACGGAGGACCGCACAGTTAATCAGAATGACTTGTGCCAACGATGTTTTAGGGCTTGGACGAGCAAAACAGGACAGAGTGTGGGGAGTAGACACGAAATAAACAACGAAAGAAACGTCTCTCTAAATCGTTCCTGAGTAAGATACTTCAAGTCCTTAAAACCCCGCAGTTCAGTAAGCAGTTTAATAAAAAATAAAGTCAATGAGGAGGTTGCGCACAAAATGAAGTACAAGTAAGCGAATTCCCCTGAATGTGTTGTACTAAGATTAAGCAACGGGGAGAAAATGTCAGTAACACTAGGGATTATAATCTTACCTCCATGTAATCCACTGACTAAAAGCTTGAATGGCGGATTACCGCCAGTTCCGCTCAACAAGTTCCTGATCGCACCAAAGTCGAACAATGTACCAATATACGCTGTATAATCATCCACGCTGCTGATTACATTCACCTGTTGGAAAAGGGGGAG